TGTCAGATGGACAGCTGGTGAAAATGCCAAGGGCTTGGGGATCCAGATATTTTTAAAATCTCAGACTGTCACATTAAAATATGCAGGAATGTTGGCTGACTGAATTGGAGAATTATTGAATTAGTGATACAAGTAGCTATGAGGGAGGGCTAAGAGTGAAGGCAATGGCCATTGTAATAGAACAAAATCAGGCAGAAAAAAAACAAACTCAGATGAGAGGCTGAATGTTACAGGAATCACAAAATGTGTGTGTATGTGTAAGTTAATTCTTTCAGCTCTCAGACTTGACCATGAAAACTTGGCTGAAGAGACAATCTGAGACAAAGGGCCTCTGTGCCCAGCTGGCGCAGACCCACTGAGGACAACCCAGCAGGGCCTAGGAACAGCCTGCTGCTTGGCCCCCGACAGATAAGTGATTGGGCCTGTCTGTGAGCTGTGTATACTTGAACATGCTGGGCCTGGGGAAGAATCATGCTGGACAGATGCCTAAACCCAAGAGGCCTAGTTCTGCAGGCCGTCCAGGTCTCAATAACAGACTGATGGTGAGAATCTCTCCAGAGGCTGTGGGGATGTGAAGGCGAGCAGAGGGGCTATTGTTGTCAGATCGGGGGAGACTACATCAAAAGACTGAAAGGAAATACATCAAAACATTGACTGGAAGATGTACTTGGGTTGTTTTTACTGCTTATTTGTTTCCTCTGGGCTATCTATGTGTTCTATAGTAAATGATTTTACTTTGAAAAAATCAAAGAAATCTAAGAAAGACCACAGAGCTATGGTGGTAGGAGAGCTACAGGGACTACATATGAGGCGAGGTCAAACACCATTCAAAAACTAACCACTATGTAGGGGAACAGATATAAAATTAAAAAAGAAACATAAGAAAAGCAGGTGCTGGCCCTCCCTGGTGGCACAGCGGGTTAAAGCACTGCACTAAGAAGCCGAAGTCACTTCCGCATGAGTTCGATCCCCGCCTGCCCTGGAAGAGATCCACATGGCGCGGCAGACCTCTCCTGACCCACCTGCTGCTCCCCCCAGCAGTGTACTTCTTCGATCTGCCTGCTCTGCTCCCCACTCTGTCTCTGGTGAAGCCTCTCACCACCCTTGCACCTCTGGCCTGTACCCCAGTTCTGTATGCACAAATAAATAAAATCTTTAAAAAGAAAAAAGAAAAGAAAAACAGGTGCTGTCTTTTCCATCAGACTGAACAACTGGCGGGATACAGAGCTGAAGGAATTATATCTTGTGAGTACCCTGACATTAACCACTCACACTGGCACCGTAGAGGGGCTCTGTAACTACTGTGGTGAATGACACTAATCTTGTCTACTTCAAACATGTAAGCTCTTAGTTAAAGTCCACTTTCCTAGCAAGCGTGGCTCTCTGCCCCTAGAGTACGGTCAGTCAGAAATGAGAACCCACAGAATGAGTGGTGGAGCCACTCGAGGCACCCACTCAGATGACAACAAATGCAACTATTTTTATTATCTAAATTAATTTGGTCCTTATCCTGATCTATCATTCAACAAACATTTATTGAGCACTTAATATAGGGACTATGTTCCTTTGTTCTAAGAATTTCAGTATTGTTATTTATAGATGAGAACAGATTCAGAAAAGTGAGTGGTTCAAGTCATGCACAGAAATAGGTGGCAGGGCTCAGATTCTCATTCAGTGCTCTTTACCACACCACAGGGCTTGTTACGGGTTGATAAATACTGAGTGACCATGGTGTGTGTTGGATATGCAGGTAGACTGGCAGGCAGAAAGAAAGAAATGTTAAGAGGGTAGGAAAGCAGACAGGCAAGTAAGCAGGGAGGGACAGAGTCCACTGGGCTCATGAGAAGTAGGTAAATTGTTCCCCAGGGAAAAATGAACACTCACAAAAGAACAGTAACGAGAGAGAAAATTTTCAAAACAAACCCACACCTCAGTATTACAGCCTAATACAGCATTTGAACCTTCAAGAAAATTTTAATTTTGTTTAGGATTCTCTGTATAAGAATTTAGGATCTTTTATAATGACTACAAAATGTTCCCATTGAAAATGGTAGATAAAATTTTGGCACCTGAAACAAAATTTTAGTTTATCTTGCAAATTCTCTTTTGTAAAAGGGAATCTGTGATGTGAGGAGATCAGATGAAATGACTATTGAGAGTCACCCTGGTGTGAGTTTTGCCATGTTAAGATATCAAGAGGAAAAGTATAAAACATTAAAGTGGGACTTTTTTTTTTTTAAACGACCATATGACATTGTTCTAAAAGCAAAAATGCCTTGCTTGGGGGCATCTTAAATTATACCAGGTTTGATTTGTGCCAGTACTGTTAACCCTGAAAAGTAGTGATAGGAAGACTGGAATTTTGTTCTGATGTCCCCTCCCATACAGTTCAGTGACAAAGTAGGACAACTGTTTCTACATGCCAGTTAGGCTCAATTCATATTTTTTAAAGACTTCTTCATTTATGCATACAAGAACTGGGGTACAGGCTAGAGGTGCGGGGTGTAAGGATTCACTAGAGATACAGTGGGGAGCATAATGGGGATTGAACAAAATACACTTCTGAAGAAAGCAGTGTGAGAGACAGGAGAGGTCTGCTGTGCCATGTGGGTCACCTCTCTGGCAAAGATCGGACTTGTGCTACAGTGGCTGAGGATAGCTCCATAGTGCTGTGCTTTCAATCCCTTGTGTCACCAGGAGGCCCCCAGGCTCAATTAATTTTCATTAAATTAATAAATGACTCAATCTTGGCTGAGAATGTTATGGCATTGGGAAAAGGCATAATAATGTGTCCCTCCACATTCAACAGATAATGCCATTGACAAAGGACATCAATCATTCAACATATTATTTTGGCAATTTACTCTGTGCCAGATACCAGAAAAGTTTAAATAGTTGTGAAACTTACCAGTCTAGTAGGAAAGATAGACATTACTCAAATTATACATAAGCCACTTTATTCACTGCAAAATGCAAGCAACCATGATTGATTTTACATTCACTGCATACACTTTAGGTTATGAAGGGTTTTATACACACACAAATCATAGGAAGTCATATAGCAAAGGAGTTAAATGTATAGATTTTGGTGTTGCATTGTAGTTCCAAGCATGGCTTACTTTCTTGCAAACTGGGCTTTTGAACAAGTTTCTGAGCTTCACTTTCTTCACTATTTGAATCAGGGAAAGGATGGGAGCTGAGGCTTGGGTCTAGGACATTCATCCCAGAGCTGTTGTGAAAATGCACCAAGATAATGCACTCAGCCCATTGCCCAACACACAATTGCTAAAGTAGCTTTATTCCCCTCCCTTCCCCCACCGACCCCCACTTCATAGCACCTTTCCCTGTATCTTCCTCTTCTTCCAGAAGACAAAGCTCAGGTTTACTACTTACTAGAAGCAAAATGAAACTAATAACACCTATCTCACAGCGTTACCCATGAGAGTAAATGAGGTGACATTTTTAGGGAGTTACATGAGGGTCTAACACTTAAAGACAAATCTTTTGATTTGGGCATCAATCCCTACCCTTCATAGGGTAGACTCTGATTAAGGAAATAGAATCCACTTCATTCAAGCCATTCATCTCTTCAGGCAGAAAGAAACCCCTGGGTCCCCTACCTTCGGAGCAGTGGATGAGGTGGTCATTGAGCCATCCTGACCTGAATGACACCGAATCTTGTGAGAGACAGGGGAGGACATTGGAAGCAAGCTTACCTCCTGGGTCTCATGAGGGGAGGTGTTTGGTCTTCAGAGTTGACCAACTCAGTGTGGTCTTACTGGATGTGTTTTGATGAGGGGTTTTCATGAGCAGAATTAAGGCAATAACTTAGCAGAGCTAAGGCAATATGCTGGGGAACGGGGTTTGGAAAACGCCTATTCAGCTGGAAGGAGGAGAGGAAATAGAGGCTATCCCCAAAGCCTCTCCTGTCTCAAGCTGCCAGATTGCCCTGCGACTCTGTGATTCTGCTAGGTCCAGGAAGTGGGAGTCAGCAACTCTGAGGCATGAAATCAGAAAGGCACTGAATGTTTGGATGGAGTGCCAGGTCCCAAGAAGAATGCCTCTTTGTTTACATGTCAGCTACACCAAAGCAAAACAAATTTGTCAGCATCTCCTTCAAACTGCAAGGGAAGAGTCTAAAAAGTTTTAAGCAACAAAGGAGGGCAAATGTAAGTAGATTGCTCAATATCATCATTACTAATTCAAGGATTATAAATAAAAGCATGTTAAAATCTTTACTTAGTGAGCTGATTTTAATTTATGAAATACGAATAGAGCGATAGAAGGGCTCAGTCCCCTACCAATATTTTCCCATCCCATTTTATGAACTGTCTCGTGCCTCTCTTTTTTTCTTTTACATTTTATTTTATGTTTATTTATTTATTTTATTTATGCAGAGAACTGGGGTGTAGGCCAGAGGTACAGGGGGTAAGAGGATTTACCAGAGACAGAGTGGGGAGCAGAACAAGCAGATCTACGGCAATACACTGCTGAGGGAAGCAGTGGGTGAGACAGGAGAGGTCTGCTGTGTCATATATGGATTGGTTCCCTGGCCAGGGATTGAACTCAAGTCTTGGGGGTGATAGCACTGAGACTTAACCTCTAGGCCACTAGGGAGTCCTGCTTTTACATTTTAAAAGGACAGGTTTATTAGGAAAAGGAGGAAGCTGTCTCATGCCTTTCAGCTATACATCCCTGCCTTGCCCCCACCCTACCCTCCACCCCTCAGTGAGGGGGTGGTATTCAGGACTTAACTCTCAAAGAGAAAAGTGGGATGGAGTGTCTATGTTTAAGCGGTTCATTTATTTGATAGTGTAGCAAATGAGAGGATTCAGGCATCAGAAAGTGAGGGTGGGAGGGTTGCAAGGATTATAGTTGCCCCCTCATATTCCCTTATGGTACCTGTACATCTTGGTCTATTTTTGCTGACTTGTATTTAAGAAAATAGAAATCATTTCTGTATGCTGTGTTTTTTTTTCTTTCCTACTTTACCTCTATAGATGGATGGAAAAGGCAGTGGATGCAATCTAAACATAGACTGGATTATAGAGAATTTCACCTCACTGCAAGAAAATTTTATGGAGACAAAAGGATAAAGGTAAATACTGAAATTCAGAAGTATAATAATCAACTGAAAAATGCAAACTTCGATATAATTACTTTTATCCTTGATTATTGGATCTGACAGTCCATTTGTCTTGGAGAAGAATTTAAAAATGGAGAAGAATGACTTCACCAAAAAATAATGCCCATTTGCTGAATAATATGTATTTACAACAAACCTTTAGACACACTATCCTCATTAACCTTCCTAACAGCTTAGTGAAATGGTTACTATTATCCTCCTGGTTACTATTATGCTCCTGGTTCTGCAGAGCAGTGGGGTCATTTGCCCAAAGCTATAAACACAGTTGGCAAGAGGCACAGCTGACATATGGGTCTAGGCCTGACTCCAGGACTGTGCTCATTACTGCTGGACTTTGTTGCTTTCCCCAAACCTAAAATGTTTTATGTAGCACTGTACTTGAAACAGGGAAAATCACTATATAACCTCCAAATGTAGCTCTCCCCTAGAGGAGCCTGGTGCAATAGAAAGTGGAGCAGACAAACCTGGAGCTAACTCCCATGACTTGCTAGCTGCATAATTTGGGCAAATCTTTCCACATCTCTGAGTGTTGACATTAGATGGAGATAATCATCACCACCTGGCATCCTCAGTAGAAAAGGCTGCTGTATGAACCAAATAATATTAGGTGGGAAGAGGACCTCTGAGGACAAGGTCTGCAGGCAAGGATTTTTTTTGTCTGAGAAAGCTTTTGTCCTATAAATAGAATCCATTGATCGGCCCCTGGAGTGATTTCCCATCTTCTCTCTCCTGGCTACTGTTATGAATCTCATTTTCATGTTTATTAAAGGAGAGAGTTACAGACTGTCTAGAGCATTTAAAATCTCATTTAAATCTACTCTGGAAAAATTGTTTCCAGAAGAGGGAGAATTGGAGAGAGGTCACTGAGTGACCTGTGGGACCTCTGCTTCTTACTGGCTCCCAAAGTGGTCTGCACAAATACACATCTCTTCATGTGATTTCTTGGTGGTTGTGCCTCTTACCTCATCCCACTCAAGTTCATTAGGCTCCCCCTGGTTTGTCTACTAGGGTTCTTGGGTGCAAATGAGGTTCAGAGAGAGGAGGAGATTACATGGGTAGTAGAAATTCAAAACTTAGTTTTCTGCTCCAGGTTCATTGCTCTTTTCCTGTCTCCATTCTTTCCTCTGGGTTGTCTTTTTTTATGACTCCAGTCTTACTTAATCATACTCTTTAAAATACAAACAGCTCCTAATGCAATATCAAATGTGAAAAGGTTTAGCCCAAAGCATGGTGTGCTAAACCATTCAAGCGACATCTGAATTGGAATCTATGATCCATCTGTGCAGTTTAACACAGAACTATTGAACATTTCCTTTATGCCAGGCCTTGGCTTAGATATTGGGCATAGGAAGATGCTCTACTTGTCAGGAGCTTAAAAATCTTTCATAGAGACTGAAATAAACCTGATTGTACCCTAACATGACCCAGGGAAATATAGAAAGCTGTGGGATCATAAGGCAGGACCCTCACCAAACTTGAGTAATAACAGCTGCTTACATTTCTTTTAATAGCTTACAAAGTACATCTCACCTCTCTTACCAATATGCAGTAAGAATAACTATTCACATTTTGCTGATGAGGAAACAGGCTCAGAGTTAAAGTGACTGTCAGACCCAGTAAACTTGGCAACCACACGGAATAGTGGAAGGACCAATAACCAGGAAGTCAGGAGCTTGACTTTTGTCTGTATGCTGAGGCTGTGTGATCTTGGATAAATAACTTTGTCTCTCTGGGTCTTTTCCTTATCCATAAAATAATAATTAGATTGGAGAAACTCTAATATCTCTAGCAGCTCTAATATTCTCTGGAAGAGGAGGTGAAGTTTTAGGATGGAGCTCTGGAGTTAGAATGTTTGTGTGACCTGGACAAGTGATGCCATAATAAAGTGGGAGTATTAGTAGAGCCCACCTCATGGTGTTATTAAGGAGATGGAGTACAGTACACAGATGAATGAAATATATTGCCTGGTAAAGAGGAGATGTTCAGTAACTTTTAGCAATGATTAATATTTGTTCTACGAGGCCTTTCCCCATCCAGCAGTATGAAGCATTGTAAAATCTGATTCTTGGCCAGTGGCCATCTCAAAAGAAACAGAGCCTTGTTATGTAAATCAGAAGAGCAATTACCAAGTATCTCTTGAAAATCAGCAGCAGTATATTACAGGGAAAAGAAAGAATCAGACAAACATGGCTTAAAGTCCAGTTTAGCTGATATTAGCTATATGATCTTAGACACTTTACCTCACCTTTTAAGTCACTTGATCTGCTCATGACACATTTCTAATTTGCTCTGAGATTGAGTAAGACAACATGTGTAAAACATTTAGCACAGCACACAGTAGATATGTAAAAAAATAAATAAATAAAATAACCTGAGATTGGTGAGACCGAGTCTTGGGTCTCCCTGATAGTTGAGGTATTTAATTCTAAAGATTCTGTGCTTTCTGCAACCAGGTCTCCAGACCAGTGAAGATGCCAAATTTTATGCCCTCTCAACCAGGTTTAAACCATTCAGCAATGAGAATGAGACCTTGGTGGTTCAATTTTCAGTAAAACATAAAACATAGATAGCGGTGGTGTGTATGTGAACTCTTTCCCGACACCCTGAACCAGGAAGATATGTGTTCGGAATCCGAGTATTACATCATGTTTGGTAAGCTCTCTGCCAGCAGTCACTGTCGGCCCTGTGAGGTCTTAATGAGAACTAAAGTAGTTGTTGGAAAGGCTCAGCTGAACCTGAGACAGGAAATTTCTAATGCTAGCCCCTCCTCCCTTCAAGGCCTGAAAAACAACTCTAAACCTAATGTTACTATGAATAGACCACGAGGTGGAGAGGCACAGGCTACAGGCTACAGTACAGAGCAAGACATCTCCCCTAAACCCCCTCCCAGGAAAGGAAAAAGGGTCATAAACTGTGTGGACACTTATCTGCCTACCACAATAAAACTGCTCTCAGGGGCTCCTGCCTTCAGTGAGTAAGGCATAGAGGTCAGGAAAATTAACATTTATCAAACATCTATCATGCATTCTAAGTGTTGCATCTGCAACCTCATGTCACTAGGCTTCCCTGGGGCAGGTCAGCTCTTAGCTTCAACCTTGAATCCAGTTTCAACATGTTGATGCTAAAAAGCCAACAAGCAACGGCAACTAATCCAAGCCTCCAATGCACTGGTGAAGAATGTGGATTTTATTGAGTGTTTTTATACAAGTCAGCGGAAGGGCTACCCACATGTCATACAGCAAAATTTCCTGTAAATTTGCTCTACATATTTCTTTCTTTTCCTAGGAAGCTTCAAATCTTTCTCTGCAAGCCTCTGTCAAGACTTTCTTTAACGATTCTTTTCCTCTCTGTATTTCCTCTCCCAACTCTTTCTTATTGTTCAAGTTCTTTCTCATATACAGCAATATAGCAATCTGAGTATCTAAAATGTGTCTTTGTCTTTCTCTGTTTTGTTCAGAATCCACCCTTCTCACAAGCAATGTGTGTGTGTGTACATAGTGGTTTGGTTTGTAGGAAAACCAGAAATTATTTCTGAAATGTGATTTTCTCTCTTCATTTGAATATCATTTATTTGATACTCAAATAACCCAGCAGGTTTGGGCTGTTATCATTTCCATTTTACAAACGAGGAAATGGAAGCAAGAAATTTGCCTAAGTTAAGTAAGTAGAAAGCCAGAATTTGACCATATATTGTCTGACTTTAAAAGCTGTGCTTTATTCTAATCCATGCTTTTGCCTTTTTTTTTTTTAAGGCAGAATGAAAAAACATCTCTTTAAAAAAGAGATCACAAAAGATGGCATGACTCAATTTAACTGGGGCTTCTCTGAGACGAGATTTATTGTCCTTTGAAGAATGAGTTAGATTTTAATAGGCAGAAAGGAAATGTAATGAGGACAGGGGAAACAGTGTGTGCCAAAACTCAGAGGGTGAAATTAAAATGCAAGTAAAGAAACCACATAGACCGGTGTGACTAGAGCACATTGTGTTGTGTGTATGTGTGTGTGCGCGCGCACGTGCAAATGTGTGTGCATGCTTAGGATACTCAGAGAGCAATAACCATGGGAAATAAAGGTTAAAAACTAGGCTAAAATTGGCCCTTCCTGGTGGTACAGTGGGTTAAAGCACAGCACTAAGAAGCTAAAGCCACTTCAGCATGAGTTCGATCCCCGCCTGCCCCGGAGGAGATCCACATGGTGCGGCAGACCTCTCCTGACCCGCCCGCTGCTCCCCTCAGCAGTGCGCTTCATCAGTCTGCCTATTCTGCTCCCCCACTCTGTCTCTGGTGAATCCTTTCACCGCCCCTGCACCTCTGGCCTGTACCCTAGTTCTGTATGCATAAGTAAATAAATCTTTAAAAAAAATTGGCTAAAGTCTATGCTCTAGTGCTAAAAAACACTGAGAAAAAAAAGAGAAATAGAGTCATCATATAACCTGACTGTATACTATAATGACAAATTAATTTTAGATAATCTGATATTAAAATAAAAATAAGTACATGGATCATGAAACAGAACAAAAGTCCAAAAATAAATCCATATATATAACATTTAATTCATGATAAAGGAGTCATATGATGGGGAAGTTCTCTTCACCAAGTGGTATTGAGAACACTGGAAGGTCACATCTAAAAAAAATGAAGTTGGCTCATTCTAACTCCATGCATGAAAATAAATTCAAAATAGATTCAAGACTTAGATATAAGATCTACAACAATAAAATGTATAGAAGAAAACATTGGCAAAACAGTTCATGATATTAATGATGCAGGTGTTTTTAGAAACTCAACCCCTATGGCAAGAGATAAAAGCAAAAATAAATAGTTAGGGTTACCTCAAATTAAAAAGCTTTTACAGAGTGAAAGAAAATTTAAGGACACTAGAAAGACATTAAACTGAATAAGAAAATATTCATACATTATGCAACCAACAAAGGGTTAATATCCTAGGTATAC